GGAAGAAAATTAACTCTATCCCAGCCGAAACCAGGGCACCTATCAAATCAAGGACAGGAGAAAAAGCAAGAAGAGGAGCTCATCAGAGCAAAGAACCTTGAAGAGAGACTTTTTGTAACATGTAGAAACCAATGCTTGTATTTCTACAAATTAAGCTATTTTAAATACAAAAACTAACTGTAGTAAGAACTACTATCCCATATATTCTCTAATCAAGCGTAATGGCTTATTATGGGGAAGAGTCATGGAACAGTAACACAGATTGAACCTGAACTTCTCAGTGCAAAAATGTCATTCCCTATGACTGCACACATAACTGTACCCCATTTCCAAGGAAAACTGAACAGGGTTTAGGGAGGGGTGGGGGCAGGATGAGTTTCCAACAAAAGATAATTCACATGTCAATAATGCAGAAATCAAGGACAACTGTCACCCTTTTAAGATTGAGCTCTTGAGAAAACAACTCTGCTGACAACCTTTAAGCAGATACCAAAAAGAAGTCTTTGTCCCAAACATATTTTTTGAAAAGTTGGGAATATATGAAAACAAATCAGAGGAATGCTTTTAAACAGAAGGTTCTAACATAATGGTGGTACTATATTATCAGAACCATGCCCCCAATTTACATGCCATAGAATTTCAGAGTTCTAGTTTCCTATTTACTTATGTAACTGCTTTAGCAACTTCCTCCTTTCTTTTATTGGATAAACCATTCGGCTACCAATGGCTATTAAACTGTCAAGCAACCAGCCACCAAAAAAAAAAACCCCCACGAAAAAGCAAACAAAAACTCAAACTACCAACTGCCTGTAGCCAGAAGGATGCAGAAAGGGAGAGAACACTATCTCCCAGTGCAATTCTTTCCTTCAAAGACCTGGTACAATGATGAAGAGGAGAGGCAGACTCCTAATCTGACGCAGTAGACCAACTCTTAGGAGAAAAACCCACACTTTTAGGATTTTACAAGTAAACCACAGAAATCAGCTGTGTGGTTTTTAACTGCCATGTCATTTTACAATGTTACATTGTCAACTCTTTTCAGAAATAGAAGCCTTGCAGTAAATTTTTTCAAAAGTGCATTATAAAAAAAAAGGACTTTTTAATGTGTATTCCACAATTCCAGCTTTAATCATTCAATCAGCACGCTAACATGCTATCAAAGATACCATCATTCCACATACCAGAATCATCCATGACAGCAATTGCTTGCTCTGCTTTATGCTGCAAAGCAAGAAGAGCTGCCTGTCTTCCTTGAAGAGCCTTCAATTGCTCCTGCTGTTGTAGCATCCTTTTCAATAAATCATGCTGCTTCTTCAAGTTCTCCAACTCCTCTTTAGCTTCCTGTTGAGGATCTCTAGCCTGAAAGATACAGAACATTACCATAATCATGACAATTTATTTGCTGAGTACAAGTGACAGAAGTGTCAAAACAAGCAGGACTTCAATAGAATCAAACAGCCTGGTTAGTGTAAAAAGGTGAAAATGAGGCTTCACCCTTCCAGTAGTTCTTTTCAGTCTAAAAATTTTAGACATCCAATAGGGAGAAGCCTGTACCACCAAGACATGCTTACCACTCCTGGGGGTTAAGTTTTCTTTAGAAATCCAGTCAACCACCCTAATGCATCCCAAAGACTAACCCAAGCATCCCTCTGTCTCTTGAATCATAAAAGAGGGCTAAGCAAGTAAGGCATAGTGTCATGGCACTACATATAATACAAGATCTAGGTTGAGTTACTGGCCTAAAATCTCAGCAGAACGTTTTGGGCAGGTATTCTCTAACCTATAATGTGTTTAGTTTTGTATGCTATATTTACGCCATAGATACTAGAATAGATCAGATTTAGGTAAACCAATTTCAAAACAAAAACACACACAGAACCCCCTCTATACCATATTTTCAAACACATGGAAACAGACCTGAAGGAATGAAAGCACGCTGGGCAGTTAAAATGTATTAAAACTAAGTTCTTTTCCTCATCCTATCCTAATGAAAAGCTGGAGATTTGCCTCAACACTTTTACTGAAGGATTGTCAGCAAATTAAGTATTTTAATGAGACATCCACAGTTGAGATCCTGATCCTGTTTGAAGTTGGATTATTACACTATGCAGATGAAACCATGGAAAAACTTGGCTCCTTTTTGTTAGGAGTTGACAAATATTTGAAAAGAACATTACTAACTTAAAAGCATCATCTTCTCTCCACATAGTGCCGAGTTCCTGAAGTACAAAATTCTCTCACTCCAAAAATTCCAAAACAAATGTCAGAATAGAAGCAGGCATATTATTAAGTAGTTCTAGGTATCAGGGAATGCTCAACTTTCCAGCAGAGAAAGGAGAACACATCCAGAATTCTAAGCTTCTCAAAAGAAGCATCACTAAAGCACACACTGCAACTGGCACTGATCATTCCTGTTAAATTTTCATCTTGTATATTAAAAGCAGAGTAGAGGCAAAATAGAGTACACAATGAAATCAACACAGGAAGCAATGGGGGAAGAAAGGGAAAAAAGGAATGCGTCTCAGTCTTGCTCACCTGTTAAATAATCCAAGATTTAGATAAAGTACCAGATTTGCTTAAGTTCATTACAATCACATAAATTTGTCAAGCTTAGTTCTACATTTAGACTAATAAGCTTGACAAAACATTTAAGCTTTTCATTTCACAGAAAAGAAAACCCCAAACTTAAGACTTTGTTTTTAAAATCAGAGCAAGAGACAAAGCCACAGAAAAGCTGGTAACAGGTAACAAAAGAAGTTTTAGACTCCAAGCCCCTTAGTCCTCCCCCTTCCAACCAAATATTTATATAAATAGCTATACAAAAGCATTTGTCGAACAAGTTAAGGCTAATTATTCTCTAATTTATTTTCTCTTTATGGTACTAGCTTAAATTTGCATTGGCAGACTATTGGTGTAAACATGACAAGTATGTGAAAGTCACATTTACAATGTTTTCCCAGAAAGAGAAGAGCAAAACTGGAATGATCATCTACATAAAACTGGAACACCTGCTGTACAGTTACATGTAGTACTTTCTCTATCAATGTTGACATTTCAGAAGAGAAACTTGTCAAACACCTCTATTTAAAGGGGAAAAAAAAAACCCTCTAGGCAAAGAAGTTTCATTCAATGAAAAGACAGCTGAATACAGATAAGCAGGCCAAATGGGAACATTCACTGTAAGTAACAAATACATTTGAAGCAGTAACAAGAGAAAGGAGGGAAAAAAAAAAAAAGATCAGCATGTATAAGCCCTATTTATTTGAGGCTAAAATAATATTTTTAAGTGTACCTTTGAAGGCAATCCACGTTCTTGGCTATTAATCCTACAATGCCAGATTTCCCTGTCATTCAGAGCAGCTCTGTCACTTTTCCCTTTAGGGCTTGCTGTAACATCAATGTCTGTAACCTGTTCTTGTGAAGCCGAATTCCCTAGTTTGTCCTCAATGCGGGGCCGAATGCTCAAACTAAAAGATACCTCCTTTATTAAATAGTTTAGTATGTTAGATTTTGAACACGTGCTCCAACTTAGCATGCATTTTTAAGTTACAAATCTACCCACTTGTATCTTGTCAAATAATGAAAACTCATATCAAATAAAATCTATTAAAGAGCAAAGACATTTTTAGTAATTCTTAGAATTTTCATAACAATAAGGCTCCATACAGCAATCAACCTGATACGACTAGAAGTATGCATGTAATATATTCAAGCTGCATGTAAGGAGAAATTAGATGCAAAATGAAGAGCCAAACATAAAACTAATCCCCATTTTGTAAAGATGAAGAAAAACAGAAGTTTACATGCACACTTCTTAAAAACTGTACTGGTCTTTTTCTGCATTTTTCAAGTTTTTTTAAATTAAATGTACATCTTCTGTGTCTATCATTTTATTTCTTTACAGGGATAGAAAGAGTTCTTACAAAGCTAAAAATAATTACAAAAACTTCTTAATGTTTTAACTGCTGTTTTACTTCCAAGCATGTAAATTCTCCTCATCTGGAGAACATTCAGAGTACTAACTGGCTAAAAGAGTATCAGCTCTCTAGTACTTTTCCTCAGTGTATCAGAACCAAATTCAGAACACATTTTCTAAAAGGTGCTCAACTCTCCAAAAAAGGAGAGAAAATTCTGTTAGGTCAATACTTCCATCATATTACTAGAAATATGCTTTGTCAATGGCCCACTAATGACTTATTTCTAACCCTCTCCTCACCCAACACCAGCAAGTTTTTCCCACTAACAGAAACAAACTTACAGATGAAAAATTGTATACAAAACTATTCCTTCCTACATCAATCCAGTGCATGCTCTGCCAAAGTAAACATTTAACCCTTCACTCTACCTTGAAGAAAGACTAAATATTTTAAAAAACTAATCAAGATACATTGTTGTTGTGACAGGATAATCTTTTTTCCCCATATTTAAAAAAAAAAAAAATCCACACGTGCACGAACACCTCCTGAACAGAGTGTTTGGGGATTTACTATTTTTAATTGAACTGCAGATTACAACACTATCACAACAATCATGACAAAAACAAAACAAAGTCTTCATTTCTAGCACCTTAATTACTAGAAGGCAGCTTACCGTGGTATCTGAAGCCTCAGACTGCACATCAATGTTTAGCGATGTGCTCTCACCTACAGAACCAGATCCCACAGCTGAATCTATAGTCCGAACATCATCCTCCTCATTTTCTCTAGCCTGAAATATTTCATTGGCATAAATCAAAAGCTACATAAGGGGGCAGTAAAAATGAATTATGGAAGGTACTACATAACAAAACCAACACCCCCAGTAGCACCATCAAAACATCAATGGTCAACTCCTAAAAAAGCTTACAGTGCAGAAACAAATATATTATGTTCTCAAACTTACAAGCATCTTTTGCAAAAATTTCAGATAGGATTTCTCCTGCTCTTTAAGGTGATCTATAAGGTGTGATAAACGCTCAACATTGGCCGATCTTTCATTTTTCTCTACAAGATCATCCCGCATGGAGCTGGCCTTAGCAATATAGTCGCGAATTTGAACTAGTCTGCTCACAATCTGTAAAGACACTGAAATTACTGAATGCATTCAGCTACAGCTTTAACGTATTTAATGCACAAGACACAGTGACAGCAACAGCAAAGTAGTAATTAAAGGGGTGACATGCTAGTACTTTCAATCCTATAAGCACACTTCTGCAAGTGGTTAAAAGTCAACGGCTTTTATAAGGATAGATTTATGCATGCGCAAAGTTGCAAGGCTGAAGCACAGGCCTTCTTGTCAACACAGGCTAAAACAGAATTGAACTTACGAAAACATTAAACTGTGAGAGTATTTTCTGGACTGTATAACAAAGAACCAACCTCTAAGATGAAAATTAATACTGCTTCTGTTACCAATAAGCAGATTTCTAAATAACAATACATGATTCAGTTTGGTTTCACATTTTCCTCAAGTTGCCTTTTAGAACAGTGGGAAGGTAAGTATTTCCAATAAAGATTTAACAGTTATGCTTTTCAGAAATTTAGAAAGATGCACTGAAAAGTAACAAGGTAATTAAAACCTAAGAGTCAATATTCTGTAGACTTTATAGGCTATGTAAATACCTGGCTACTATCCATAGCTGGTTCTCCCCTTCCATCTTCTTGAGCAGAGACATGACAATTTTGCAAGAAATCCTTACTTAGAGCAGCTCCAAACAACTCTTTACATTGCACTGATACCCCACTTTCCTTTTTTTGGGAACCTGAGGCAGGATCTTTGCTTTTGTTAGTGTTTATCTGCAGTGACAGGAAGTTGAAGGGTTTTTTGTTTTCATTAAGTTGACGTTTGTTGTTAGCAGCTGTTGCCCTGCCTTGAGAATCACTTCCAATGCTTCTCTATAAACAAACAAAAAAACAGAACAATTGCTTTACTTTTTTCCTCCAATATATTCTCAACACTGATTAGTTTCACTGCTTGGATTACCAGTTCTGCAGTATTATGAGACTGATTTTAAAGTTACCTTATTAGTCACTGACTAGCCAAAAGCTAGCTAAAGACAGTGCTGGCGATTTTTGCCATATAGTTTTCAGAAAGCAAGCCCACCCTCCCACAACAGCTGAGAAGCAAAAGGGTTCTGCAGTTCCTCAGAGCCTAGTTCCTCATCCTTGCTGTGTCCTCCACCTTTACTACAGTGAAAGGCACCCTACTTCTCCAGGTACATTTGAGAGACTAACGATAATAAAAGAGCAATATATTCACTTGCAGAATATGATACCTCATAACTTCAGCTTTTCTTTAGAACCTTCTGAATAGCAACTTGTTGCCGTAACGTACATTTGGGAAGTTATGCCCAGTCTTCATATTCTAAGTCAAAGCAATGAATCGCATTTGAAAGCATCTTCATAACCCAAACAAGTTAACAACAAACTTTGACAAAGATTAACAAGCCTCTATTCTGAAACTGTTGGCACAAATTTATGTCTTGTTACCAAAGAATTAATCCCTCATACTTTTCATTGTTTTGGACAAGGGAAGGGTGAATGTGCCATATTCCCAAAGAAGCAGTTATGGCTCAAGAATTCATGCTATGCATTTCTCTACACTCTACTGAGAAGCAGTTTTTAACACTACTCTTCTGCTTAATCCACAAGGATAACAATGTTCAGAATCATAAACTGGCACTTCAAGAACACACTTTCAAAATAAGGTAACAGATATTTTCAAGTGGCAGACAAGTATGACAAGTAATACTCATTTGAGGACACAGGAATTTATTAATGATTGAGAGGAAGAAAGTGGAGGCAGCTAGCATACTGTCAAGCATAGGAAAGCCATGGTCCTGAACTTCCCATGATTTTCTAAAGTTCAAAACCAGAATTTTGATTTGGCTCCCATGGTGCCTATAAGCTTTTTTTTAATCTTAACTGCTTATAAAAGCTTTCTTTATTCATCGGTCAAATTATTAAGAGATTGCTGAGTAAATTTTGTAGTCACATTTGTAGTGGGTGCTAGCATTCACACCAACCTGATCCAGATCACTGAAGTTTATTCTTTGTTTAAGCCTTTCCAGCTCAGCCTGCTCTGGAACAGACATCTGTGTCATGTATCGAGCATGAGGAAAACTATGAGGAGTTCTGGTTTTCCGTCGTCCCATTCCAGGTGAGGATTCTGGAGATATATCATTAGTAAGCCTTGTTTCAGCTTCCCCACCAAGCTTTTTCTTGTTTTTTTCTGAAGATCTGTTTGCTTTCTTCTGTTGACTTCCCCAGTCCTTAAGGGGAAGGAGAGGGAATTAAAAAAAGCCACATTTGTTATTCACATAGATGAAAAGTAAATGTATTAATTCAGTGAAAGAGAGTTTACTTCCATTTTAGAAGTAAAAATAAAAAGCGGTATCAAAATATGCACTAAGTTTCCTAGAGCAAATGTCACATTACAGAATATAATTTTCTCCACTGCATAAATTAAAAATGGCTTGTCAGGAAATTTTAAACCCATTTCATCCTACAATGCATTAAATTAATTTCAAATGAAGCTAAAATTGTATTTTTCTTCTTTGCTGAACTCTTCAGCAGTTGAGAACTTTTGAAATTAGAGTTTTCACTTACATGACACCAACAATGCTTCTGTGTCTAGCTACTTTATTTACCCCAAACACTTCCCATAAATAAATTTACAGACTTCACAACCTCTGAACTACACTCATTGCTTGCTTGCATCTACCTCAATTATTTTTAGTGGTTTTGTGGATACTTACCTGTAAAGCTGTACTGACAAGGCTTAGGTTTTTGCATTGTTCCCTGCCACTAACAGAATCCACCTGGTAATTCAAACATACAGCATAAAATGGCAACTGAAAGATAAGGTTAATTATACCGTGTTGTTCAGCCGGTCATCAAGGCTCTCATTGCTCCAGCTAGGTAAGTCCTGATCATTCATGCCTTCTTCAAAGGGACCACCTCCTGTTGCCATGACAAGCAATCAATAAAAAGAATCTAAAAGAAATAGCTGAAAGAAACACGCTGTATTAAAATTTTTTAGAATTTTTTAATTTAGAATTTTTAAAATTTAGAGTATTTTAAAGAGTCATAATCTGAGATCACAACTCCATAGTCATTATAAAATGCAAACTCAAGGCTGTTTTAGGAAAACCTAAACCCCTGTTTACTAAACCATGTTACTAAAAATGTAACAGTGAGAAGAACACAGATACTTGCATTAAAAATTAAACAAGTAGTTGTGTGTTTGGCTTTTTTTTTTTTTAACCTCCCCCCTCCCCCCCACCCCAATCCTTGCTCTTGGAAAGTAAAGAATTTTTTTTTTTGAGGCTCTCAATTTGCCTCACTTAAAAATACACTATACAGTGCTTGGAAAGACTGGTTTATGATTCATAAAGCCTGCACTTTCAAGTCCAGGGTGATGTCTATTCGATACAATAAGTAACTTTGGAGACCTAGTACGTCAAACTTTCGCATTTATTTCCATACTAAGATGTTGACAGAGCACTGAAGGGGATACTTGATACCATACACGGAAAATAGCCTTCAATAAAAGGCTTTTTACTTTCTTTACTACAGGTTAAGTTATTTAACTAGTAAATGCTGTGCCACTTACATTATAGTTTCTAGCAAAACCACAGTAATTTGGGTTTCCTAGAGCTTTGCTAGGAAACACTAGAAATAGTGTCATTCTGTGCAGTATAAAGCAATCTATACGTTAAAGTTTTCATTTTCCCTTCTAGTTTTGACATTAGTAATAAAAAAGTTGTTAAAGCTGAAAGATCAGAAACAAAGTATTCTTTTATAGCAGTAAAATTAGATTAGCCTGTTCAAAAAGGTGAAGAATACATAACTGTATATACTCTCAGGCTGCAATAAAAACTGTGTAGCCTAAGTGCTGCTGGCACAGTTCCACTGCACAAAGCTACAAATTTTCCCTTTATAACAGCTATGAAGTTCCCTTACACATGTAGAAGAAAAACAGTCTTGCAGAGAATTACTTTTTCCAGCCAGTTTTAACTGCTATGGTAGGACATGATCCTAGCTTTAACAAAACAAAACAAAACAAAAAAATCAAAAAGGACCATTTATTTCTAAATGTTTTACTGCAAACTACCTACTATTAATTTTCATACCAAGATTTCACACAGTGCAGGTGAAGAAATCACCTAAAACTCAAGATTAAGAAGTGTCTAAGATTTTTTTTTTTTTTAAATTATCAGCTCCAGAAAAAAAATTATTAATCCTGAACTAAATTTAAAAGCTGTATTAGTACACCTATCTTGCTTAGGTATAGTATTCAATCAAAATCACACCGTACAGCCCTCTCAGTAGGTGCACCTGCACAAAGCAATATTTTTATGCAAACACAGCCTATTACTGTACCATTACAGAAATCGGATCTATCAGGTATGCTTATTACACCATAACCACCTCTCCACTCGGCAGCGTACCAACCTAAGTCACAATAACACAGTTAGGAGTAATTCAGCTTCTACATCTCACAATCAGAACCATAACACAAGTATAATTAAGTGCCTGCTACTTCGGGAACTGGCAGATCTGTGCCCTACTGTCTTTGTACATTCATTCATGCTCCCTTCTTCGTCCCAACAGAAGCATCCACTAGGCCATACAATCAGAGAGTACCGTCTACAAACTAGCTAGCCCACAAACAAAACTGAAATTAAAAAAACAGTTGAGTTCTCAACTGGATAAGCTCCCTGATCTGGCTAACCTTATGACTATAGAACTACCTGTAGGCTCAATGAAGGCAAATAAAAGCCACATCACCAGGAGGAACGAAACCCAGACAGATCAACTGTAAAAACACACCTTCTGTGCAACTTTCACCCAGGTGAACTGTCAGATTTATTTAAAAAATAAGAACACAACACCCTTTCACATTTTCTTTGGTTTTTTTGCACAAGCACCCTATAAAAAGTTCACAGGGAAGCTCTCTTGCCAAGTCAAGGCAAATTTGAAAAGCATTCAAAACAAATGCAGTTATCAGTTTAGCTTATTTTAGAAAACAGCTATGTTTTGTAAGAACTTTCTTCAGTTACAGATAAACTGTTCAGCTTTGTAGATGTGCAAGATGCAACATTTCAACTGGCACTCTATCCTGACCTGTACCACTAAGCATAATGAGTTCATCTCAACACGATTAGAGGCCATCTGGGTTTACAGTCCAATTCAGTAAGCTGTTTCCTCATCATCATGTTATATAATTCTACTAAAACCATAGCAAAAGAAGTTTTTCCCTACCTTCCACTGTAAAAACAAGAAGTGGCAGTATTCATGTATATAACTAACTATTCACATTTATTTCATTTAAAACTCTCACAAAAGCTATCTTCAACTATCTTTGCTGTAGGAGCCTCTGATTACCTCTGAAGTAAGTTCACTGCCACAGATGGAATATTCTGAATAATATTCTCGAACAAGGACACTAGGCGTATACCAATGCACTCTAACAAACAGAGTTCAAAAATAACAATATCTGATTACTTCCAGCGAGCAGATTTTAAAGTGTCCTAACAGAACTGTGCCCTTCCCAGAAAGCAAGTTCCTAAACATTCATATTACAGTCTTTGATATTTCCAAATGAGTTATATTCAAGTAAGCTTAAGATCACAAAGCTATGCTGATATTTAATCCCCTCAACTCAGTTAAAAAACACAAAGAGGTTCAGCCAGCTTTTTTCTTGGAGATTAAACTCTCCCATATAAAGCTGTGTTTTTCACCTCCCCCCACACACTTCACTAATTTGTATTTTTTCTTACTTTTCATTCTACCAGCTACTGCCAGAAGAAATCCTCTTATAAAAGCTTTGGTATCCTCCCATTTACATTACTTCTGCATCCAGCAATCCATTACCAATCTCAGCTTCTTGCACGTTATAGAATCTGTATAAAAGCTCTATTTGAGCATGTGCACACTACCTTACAACATTTACTAGGGACTTGGAAAAAAAAAAAAACAACTTTCAAATATACTTCCTACAGAAATAGTAACTGAAGATGTAAGATTGTAGTCAGAACATATTTTGTACATATATCACTACAAAACATGCTAGCAAACCAAAGATACATCTTTTAAAAGGCTTTTTTTTCTACAGTGGAGTTAGTTTTGACATTTTTTTTCCTATAGCGTTCACGTGAACGGGAAGAGCTCTGAAGAGCACTTAATCCTGCACACAGAAACTTTTGAAAATTAAAACAAAAAGTTGTAAAAAGCCATCATAGAGCCACAAGGACTGAAAACGGGATCAAATATTTCTTCAGGTTTAGCTTTTTAAGACATGCACTCCTCCCTGAGCATTAATTTAGCATGAACTCATTAAATGCCCACGGAGTATTGCCAACCATACAGTATCATCAAATAGGAGCAAGTCCTCTCTTGTTGCACTGGACAGCCCTCACACGAGCTAAGGCGCTGAGAGAACTGCAAACTCAAACACCCGGACCAAGGGAGGGATGCCCAGCAGCACCCGCCTGCAG